TGGCTTCCAGGGAGCATTCTGGCTGTACTCTTCCAACACAGACTGATTCATTCTCTTGGCAATCCATAGTACTTTGTTGTTGTTGTTGTTAAGTACCATGGAGTCAGTTCCAACTCATAGTGACCCTGTATAGGGTTTCCAAGGCTGCAAATCTCTATGGGAGCAGAAAGCCTCATCTTTCTCCTGTGGAACAGCTGGTAGTTTTGAACTGCTGACCTTGAGGTTAGCAGCCCGATTCATAAGCACTACGCTACCAGAGCTCCTTTAGTGAAGAGTAAATGAAAAACACTCATAAAACAGCCTGGAATGTAGCAAAAGCTCAGTAAATGTGAGTTCTCATTATTATTGCTACTGTTAAAATTTTGTTATTCCGACTTTGTATAAACTTGCCAGTATTAATAGGAACCAGTTTATTAGATTATGGTTTTATAAAGGACTTTGATATTAGAATCTTAAGCGCTCCTCAGTATCTTTTCCTAAAGAGCAGTAGGTTTTCATTGTAGACTGATTTCCTCAACAGGGGTCATGACCCTTGGTGATTTTTTAGTTGTTTAGAAGCGTTCACTGGCAGTTCTAGAAAATCTGTGAAATGACCTTAAGGAAACCATGACCCCACTCGTTGCTCCAGGTGTAGTTTGGTCATTGCATTCTGTTAGCTCCCAGGAATGATTTCTTTTTCTCAGATAAGCACTCTGTCGTCTCTTCACCCTTCCTGAAATGATAGCCTGTTATTCTTAGTACAAGGTGGGAATCTATCACATACTTGGATTGGTGGGAGGATAAAGTAGTGGTTAAATGTATCCAAGTCAGATTGCTTGGATTCTAATCCTGGTTTCTTTATTCTATGACATAGTGGTGAATCATGAACAGTCCTGAACCTCAGTAAAATTGAGAGTAAAATGCTTCCTCCTCAGAGGGTGAGGTGAGAGTAGAACGGCATACTTTAGATTTAGTGCTTGGCACATAATAATTATTCAAGCCGGATTCAGAAGAGAACATGAAATAAGGGATATCATTGCTGACATCAAATGGATCTTGGCTGAAAGCAGAGAATATCAGAAAGATGTTTACTTGTGCTTTACTGACTATGCAAAGGCATTCAATTCTGTGGATCATAACAAGCTATGGATAAACACTGCAAAGAATGGGTACTCCAGAACATTTAATGGTGTTCATGAGAAACCTGTACATAGGCCCACAGACTATCATTCGAACAGAACAAGGGATACTGAATGGTTTCACATCAGAAAAGGTGGGTGCCAGGATTATAGCTTTCTATCATACTTGTTCAGTCTGTATGCTGAACAAATAATCTGAGAATGTGTTATCAGGAATGGAGGAAAACTCTTTTAACAACTTGAAATATGCAGATAACACAACCTTGCTTGCTGGAAGCAAAGAAAACTTGAAATACTGATGAAGATCAGTATGGATGTAATACCTCAATGTAAAGAAAACAAAAATCCTCACCACTGGACCAATAAATAACATCAAGTTATCAGGTATTTCATTTTGTTTCCATCTATAATCAATTCTCATGGAAACAGAAGTCAGAATATCAAACAATGTATTGCATTAGGCAAATCTGCTCCACAAGACCTCTTTAAAGTGTTAAAAAGCAAAGATGTCACTTAGAGGACTAAGGTGCACTTGACAGAAGTCATATTTTTAATAGCTTCATATGCATGTGAAAGTTGGCCAGTGAATAAGGAAGACTAGAAGAATTGGTGTATTTGAATGATAGTATTGAAGAAGAATTTTGAAAATACCGTGGACTGTCAGAAGAACAAACAAATCTGTCTTGGAAGAAGTACAACCAGAATGCTTCCTAGAAGCTAGGATGATGAGACTTCATCTCTCATACTTTGGACATGTTGTAAACATATGTGCATATTTGTCATTACCATAAAGCATTTTAAAGAGGTTCTAATTGCTGCTCAAGATGTTGGGATCAGTTCTCTGAAGCTGTATGTTACAATAGAGAATTATATAGCTTTGAAATAAACATGAGTTTGAATGCTCATTTTATTATAGAAAAGTATATAGGCTTTGAAATAGACATGAATTTGAATACCTGTTTTTTTTTTTT